CGGGAGTCTGAGACAATCGCTTAGGATCGATGTGAGTGGTCCTCTTATAATATTTCGCTGTCCTCTCCCTGGCCCATAGATCGACCATGAGCTTCCTTACTTTCGATCGCACTGCCTTGTTCACCCATCCTCATCCAGATCACTTCTTCATGCCTCCGATCGACAATCAGCACGCCTCCCAGCTCCCGCCTTCCTCCTCTACAGCCCAGCTCGCCATTCCCAAGCTCGGCCAGACTCGCTGCTGTACGTCCACCTCCACCTCCTTGGCGCGTTGACTCACGCTCCCCCAGACTGGACGTTGCTCTCGGCAGAGCTCGAGTTCCTCTACGTCGACCCAGTGCTCCACGCCCATCTCGGCCCCCAGGCAGATGCAATAATAGGCAGAAAACTCCTTGAATTCGTTCATCCAGATGAGCATGCAAGTGCCCAGCAGGACCTCGGTAAAGTCCTCGAGAGCAGGACACTGCACGGCTCGGTCACTCGGTTAGCCCGATTTCCTCCCCATTCCATCGGCTCACCCCTCTGCAGCGTTCGGTACTCGCGCTTAGGTCGTACCCGGGCCCGTTTGGGGTACACCGGGGTGCACAACAAATTTACAGACGAAGACAAGGTTTCCTTCGATGAAGACTACATGGCGTGTGACCTTGTCATAAATTGGGCAGCGGAAGGCCTTGTTCTATGTTTTATCCACGCTGTTGTCGGTGCGTTTCATTACACCCTGTCTTATCATGTCTCCCACTAATTTTCATCTAGATATGTCTCCACAGGACAACGATGAAGTCAATCGCACTCACTGGACAAACTGGTGCGGCACCCCGCGCATGACTGTGGAGGTATGTACACCTGTCGTCGTTTCTCTTCAATCTCGGCTCACCGTTTTTTCCAGCATGGAAACGAACTTTATCACGCTCTCTTCCATATCGCCCCGCACGTTTCCCAAGGCGCACCCCCGCCCACTCGTGTCTTCCAGATTTTGCACAACTCCACCGACCGTCCAACCCTCTTCTCCTGGCCAGGTGAAGGTTATATTCCTGCCGACTATGGACGACTTGCCAACGACGTCCAAATCGGCGGCGCAAATGGCTCGGATGCCAAGACGTCTTGTACCCGTCGCTACAAGGCACAGCAGGTTCTCGACAGCGCCGATGGCTCTGTACGAGACGTGGAAAGCATATTCATTCCCCATGGTCGTATCATTTTCGCTTGCCATAAAGCGACTCCGCACCGTCCGCGCGGACATCCAAATTCCTATCCTTTATATCCTACGCCCGCCCAATTTTACGACGCGCCAGGTCATGCGCAAACTTCTTACTACCCCCCCGTCCCTGTCCCGTCACAGGCTGCTTCATATCCCGGGCACACTTACTCGCATTACTCCCAACCGTCCCACCAATCGTCTCACCCGCACGTGCATGCTGCTCAAGCACGTCATCACCATACGTCACCCTTACCCAGCCCTGGACCTCCCTCTCCCGCGGATCGCGTGGCACACAGTCACCCTATCAGCACCAGCAAACGCAGACAGAGTGGCCTGTAAATTCTGCACAGCATCCTCCATACATGGAGCACCATTCCCACAATCAGCGCTATTCTCAGCCGTTGCTGGACGACGTACCTCCCCCACGCCAGCGCCCGGCACGTCTCAGCCCCGAAATGAGCAGCGTTCCCCCCGGGGGAAGCACACGCGAAGTCTATCCAGGAGGGGGACGCGCGGGGGGAATCCCCCTGTGGGTGTGACTCGATGTGCGGCGTGTAGGAGTACTAGCAGCCCCGAATGGCGCAAGGGCCCGAGTGGGCGGAAAGACCTGTGCAATGCTTGCGGTCTACGGTACTCGCGCGCACGAGCGAAGAAGGAGGGCATCATCTCCCAGAGACGACGAAAAGACGCTGGAAAGGCACAGGCGCAGACCTCAGAACAAGGTCCGCCTAGTAAGCGGCGGGGGTATGCTTCGAATGTGTACGCTGAATATCCTCTCGACGAGCAGCACCAGCCCATGGGTGCTGGAAGTGGTGAGGGCAGTACTCCTTCGCCGTCACCTCCACACGACTATCCGCAGTCCCAGCAGTCCAGCTCTAGTTTATATTCCTACCCTCCCCACGTCGATCCACGACAGCAAACCATGTATGCCTACTCGACCCAGCAACAGCATCAACATGGGAACGGATTTTTGGCCCCGACGCCAAGTCCCGCGCCGGGAGGCCTCTCAGTGGGGTCCAGCTCTACAGAACCTGCAGCTGTAACATCCACCTCCTCCTATGAACGGGCGGGGATACCTTCAAGTAGCCGCCATGCTCTCGGAAACCAACATGTACATCCCTAAGGCCTCTAATATACGCCATACGTATGCTGTCTCTACTTCCTAAACTTGACACACAATTATCATCAGTCTCTTCTCATCAGCGCTGCCCGCCTCCGACTAATGTCTGTTTGCCCTGCCCTCTCCATGCTTCTGTGTCCTGGTGTTTTTCCCTTTCCCGCCATTGTTTCTGCCATTGTAAAGTACAAGTGTGAATTAGCATTCCAGTCGCATATCGATGTCAATCAGTCTAGTAATGTAGTTATGATGTTTGCTAAACAAGGCCCAGATTGACCATGTGTGGAGCATATCTAGCATCAAGGCATTTCACATATCTGTTCAGGGACCTCCTCATACGGTACCTTTGGTACCAAAAACTGGAATCATACTCTATCGCATCAGACAATTGACAGACATACTTACTGCAAGTATAACAGGCAAAAATATTACCTTGAACATTTTCGAATGAATCAGTACATCGCACATTCGTATAAATCGATATATTTCACGTCGTCCTCTTTTTACCCTTTTGTACTATAGATATAGATAAGAATGTTGATCCTGGTGTATCTGCGCCAGTAGCTGTACATTGTAAAAGACGCGATAAGTTTGAATAACGCGAAAAGTGACGTGACATCACGTGTGCAAGACAACTTGCTTGGTGCAGCACCTGCAGCAAATTGCAATGCCTATCCCATGTCCAAATCAAGGAAACTCGAAAAGGCCATGAGCGTGGTCCAGACAGCTGACGCCGACGGGCACAAGCAGATCTATTGTTCGTAGTATCTACCGGACCTCCCGCTATTGGTTTTTGCTTACTTTCCCTCGTATGCCTTGTCCAACTGAATGAAGCATATTCTTTGGAACACATGGATCCTCAAGGTGTACCCCGCATCTCCGCGCTCGTGTATGGCTTGGCCAGGGTACTGTTACCCGACATGCACTGGGAATGTACTCCGGAACTTCTGGACATCTTCGCTCTCGCAGAGGCGGTTCGCCAGCAAACTGTTGCGGGCGCCAGGGAGGCACTCTTATGGGATCAGTTCTATCGCAACGATGAGGCTACGGCAGTAGATGGGGAGCCTCTCACCGATGAAGAGAAGAAGATACTCAAGACAGTTGCCAGGAAATCCAGTAACGAAACCCAAAGGGAGACGTATCGGACCGTGGTTATGCAAGTGTGTTGGGCTGTGAGTCTCTTTGCAAAGGCTGGGCAAGGGAGTAGAGCCATCTTACTGAGTCTGGTCAAGCATGTCCATCGCCTGCGTCGATTGAATGAATCGTTTCTTATCCCCCTCTTTTTCCGTCAATATTTTCCGTCTGTTGGCGAACTCAGAAAAGCAGAGTCTACAGACGAGTGTGCCCTTTGGCTCCGTTTAATCTCACAAACCGAATTTGTCGCCTATGAAATAACCCGGGGGAAAGTGATAGAGTTCCTGGAAGATGCTGAACAGTGGGAGGAAGAGTACTTCAGTGAATTCCCGTGCGTTCCTCAATCACAGCCCATCCAGCTTCTTATCAATAATGTCGTCTGACAAATTTCACGACATCACAGTCGTGCTGGCAAGGACCCAAAAGCTATCCGAAGAACTCCAGAGTACCAGAAGGCATTTTGTAGCCGCTTTCCTCTTATGGTTGGATGGGACGCGCTCACAGGTATTCTACAACGCCACCTGATGAAGGTCCAGTCAACCCATGATCCTATGGCTTATGGCTGTTTACTTACCTGTTTGCTGCCAGATACAAAGCATGGTTGCAAAATTGGATTCTGTGTTTCCCAACAGCTCTCCAGAATCTGACGTTGAAGAGGTATCTATTATCTATACACAATAACTGATTTGTGGACTGACTTGGCTGATGAATCATTGATCAGAACGACAACGACGAGCAGCGCTCTCTACTTCGTAGTAGACCGCAGCGCAAGGCCAACGTGGAGCATCCCACACACCCCTTCTCACAACCAGAATCTCAGCGTAATACCGAGAACTCGATGGCGGTCTCCGAAAGTCAGTATAAGGACATCAAGAAGGAATCTCAAGAATCCAATGTTTCATCGAAACAATCCTACATCGACGTGCCGGAGAATGTTCCGCACGTTCCGCCTACGTCGTTATTGGGCAGGGTCGACTTGTCCTAGTGCTTGGCTGCGAATAGCTTCTCCCTAAATCGGAATCCTGCTCACATCTGGAAAGATATAAGTCAGTACAGTATATGTGTACTTATATATCGATATGATATAAAAGACTCGGCTAAGTACTCTATAGTAGATCTCATGGCTTTGAGCCTAGCCTACGATGGGTCAGGCCTGATCAGAAATTAGCTAGCATAAAATGGCATAAGGAAGTCACTATCGATCCAACGATTTGGTACTCGTGTTACGGTAAGTTTACGAAAGATTCCTGTTGGACTGGATCCGAACTCAATCACGTACCAGTATTGAACTTTAAGTCAGAACTGCTGGGAATATACACATAGGAGGTGGACGAGGCACCGGGAGCGAAAGTGCAGAGATCCGCCGCACCCTTGGCACCCATGATTGCATTATCCCACCCCTAGCTCACCTGCCTCGCTACCCATTCCCGGCTCAGTGCTCACATGCATATACACCCAACAAACACAATGGTCCGTTCTCCCCGGTCCTGACCTTTCACTCGACTCAAATCAGATTATAGAAATTGTGTAATGAAAAGCTAACTTTCAAGTGGGGACATGGTGTAGGGGTTATCACGCTTCATTTGCAATCGCAGCTTGAAGAGGTCACGAGTTCAATTCTCGTTGTCTCCATCTTTTCATGTTTTAATGTCTGACAGAAAATTGACTTATTCCACTAATACCGTACTTTATATTCCTGGAAACATAGTCCTTTTTATTTGCATGCAGTACTGTACAACGTATTGACACAGTTGTCTGTGGTATGTGGTATTACATGCATGTTTGCACTCCTCAGTTAAAGCGTGTTAATTCCCCACATTTGCGGCCTGTCAAACTTCTCACAGTACTGCAGACGAGTGTCGCTTCCTCACCGATTAATCATACTTGAATGCATAGCGCGTGCCATGGGCCACTACCACAAGTATATGCCCTGGAATATTGAGTAGTTCGGTGCTAGGACGTCGCCGAGAGCGAGGCAGAATGTTAATTCGAAATTGCAGGAACTACACTCGTAGGTTGACTTTATATGAAACTACTTAACAACTACTTTCCGAGCTTGCGTGTAGCCATCAGTATGAACCCTAGGCATCAGCCTGTAACAATAAACCTTGGATCACAGATAGGGTGCTCTCAAACGTTCCCCGACAAAATATCCGCCATTTCTCCTAGATAAAAAACGGGAATTTGATCAAGAGGAGCACTGATACTGATAGTCTGGTTGCCTGAGCCAAATGTACGGTTGGTCCACCTGAGATGTGTTATAACGCTGCCTGCATTTATATTGGAGCCTGATAATCATAACCCACCAATGAGTCCAGACAAAGCCCTGTGCCACTAACTGCTTGGGCAGAAGAGGGAGGTAGACCTCCTTTGTCGTCGCATTCGCGACGGTCACAGGCGCAATCAAAAGCCGGGGACCTGCCAGGCGTGTTTCAGTACTCATGTGTGTCGCCAATCAGTGATGTGGTCATGAGTCTACCGAACAGATAAGCCTCTGTGACCAGAGGGTTGTTGACAGCCGTCGCCTCCACGACAAACGGGTCCGAAGAGAAGTCATGATAAAAGGGTCGGAGGATGGGGCTACCTGTGGCTTGGAGCTTTTGAAACAGTCTCTTCACGTATGGGATCAATCGGTAGCGTAATCTGACGTACTGGACAGGGTATAATGTATAGATATGAATAAGCTTGGCAGAGAAAGCACGCACTTGCTTGAGAATCCCGAAATTACCATCGCCATACTCCCAGATCTGAATCGCTGTCTTAAGGTGTACGAAAGCATCTCTGTGCTGAAACATACCTCATTGGGACAGTTGTTGGCGAACGCAGGGAAGCTAGGTGAGGTCAAATTGCAACTGCGGTCTCTGCGGTTCAATTAAGAATATAGTATGGTCATGATTCCAGCGTTTTCCCCCATACCCGTGCACCCGTGTCTATGGTCAGGCATGTCAACCCAATGAACAGTTATGAAATAAAGGCACGAACGTATGGTAAAAATACCCCAAAGGAAAACCATCTCACAAACAGTTCCCTTCCCTTGGAGACGTCCCATGAGTTACGAGTAAGATATGTGATAAAACCACGAACGAAATCAGTGGAAACATTTAATCCAGAGAACCCGCCAATGTCCAAAGTCCATGATGAAATCCCGGATGCGCTATGGACACACCTGCTGTTATTTGTTGCGTAAGAACGTCGAAGCGAGAATCGGTATCCCCACTCCAAAGGTACGAACAGAATCGTTGACCGTCAGCAAATGTGCTCCGGGTTAGTGACATATGCTCACAAGACGTGGACATAGCATTTGCACCCGTGAGATTATTGAATCCTTCCTGGATAGCCTGTTGATGCAGCCATGGGTAACTGACATATGGACTCTGAGCTAAAGACAGTGCCATATGGGCAAGTATCAATCACTTACGCCTTGCCAGTAGCTTCTTGGGTTCCAATGAAGTATTGGGCAAAAGTTCGCGCATAAGGAATGCGACTGATGGTTTGTCCATCTTAGAAATATTAGAGTCATCTGATATGCCAGTGGCAATCCAATCCTCACTGTTGACAAATGGTTCGCCTAAACTTCCGCCTAGTACACGGAGAGATGAATTCCAAGGGGGTCAACGATAGAAGAAATACCTACCATCAGCCTGGTCTATCCAAAAATTGCGTAGTCCTTTGGAGTAATAGCTTTCGTTCAACCTCTGCCCTGAGGATAGAATTCTCAGCTTTACGTAAACGACGTCAAGAGGAGATTCTACACAGAAACTCCCTGGCTCCAGGATTAGTGGAATCAACATTCCGAGTGTAAACACCGTTGAAAGAGTCAGATATTCCAGGTCCATCACGTGTTGTTTCAAGCCAACCATTTTCTTGCAAGGTCAGATAATTGACTGAATTATCCTCGACACTCGGCCAGAGGGAGACCATCATCTCTGCACCAGTCAAGTTTTTGACAATAGCGGCCATTTCTTCGGGGTTGGGGAAAATTTCAGGATCAAACGACCAATCGCCCTGAAATTTCCATGCAAAGAAATCTGCATAGAAGTGAGAGACTAGTAAATGGTGGTTTAGGGCACGCCTCACCAACAACTATGAGCGCCACCGGCACCTAACCCGTGAGGAATAAGCGTCAGTAGATTGGCTTGATTTTGACCACGATAACAAGGCTAAAACAACACACGTCTTCCTCGACAAACCGCTCAGCTAATGCCACAATTTGTGACTGGTTCCAATAACGTAATTTGGATTGCTGGAAGCCAAGAATAAAATCGGGAGGCATAGGCTGACGTCCTGAAATGAGAAGCGGCCTTCTTAGACAACTCTGGGAAAAAATGCATCCAATCATATTCACCTGTTGCAGCAGTGTACTGCCTCTGCAGGCTGTCATAATCTCCAGGTTCGGCTGTCGTACTGATAATACCAATTATTGAAAACCTGAGCTTCTTATGCAAATGCTCTGCATGCTTACATATAGTAATCTATGACCGTGGCTTCATTAGATATAAAGCGAGTCCTATACTTGCTAAATTCTGAAAAGGATCAACACGAAATCACGAAGATGGACATAGAACGCACCCAGACGCCCCTGGCTGGGCACGTTGAAAAATTGTAGATATCCCTGATCCATATCGCATATATGAACCATGTACCACATCTGCAGCTTTCCGTTCTCACCTTGTTGGACATATACACAGGAATTGGGACGTTTGAATTGAAGTTTATCATGTCAATCGTTTCCCCTTGGGAACGGTATTTGGTATTGATTGGTAGACAAGGGATGTGGCATACCTACCCTTTTTGTTGACCGTGTGATCGTTGCAGCAGGCCTGTTGTCCGCCACCAAAAAATTGTTCGTCTGGGGAAGATGTGAAAGAAAAGGCTGCGGCAAAGCTTGGCGATCTGAAATCCTGTACATAGTAGCGAGAAGGTAACGCTTTAGTGTCCTGGTATTCAGAAGCCAGGAGCGAACGGGTGCCATTAGGATCGACACGGAAGAACAGTATGACCCCAGTATCCGACACTTCGACAACCATGTTCCCGTTGCGTATAGGTAATGAGGCATTTCCATATCTGACTGTTTGATCATGGGCCAAACCCGCACTCTTACCTCCTTCGGGTCCTTCTAATGGAGGGTCAAGTAGTGCAGATATCTCTTTTCCAGTTGGATCCCGGAGAATACTAGCACGTATTCGAAAGCCATGGTTTCCAAAGGGCTGGAACACGTTAAATACAACCCGAGCATCCCCGCAAACGCGTACCTGTATGTACACCCGCTCAAAGACATTCTGGAATTTTATTCCAGTTGATTTCGGAGCAAAATAACCGTTGGATTGCGCGTATGCCGCAGAAAAAAAATGGAACAAGATAAACCATGGCTGCCAAGTCTTAAGTGGATACAGCATGGGGATCCAGATATCGAATCTTCTGGGAGGCGCGCAATAATTGTTTATAAGGAGGCGGTCATTAGCCTAACCCACGCCGGACCGTTGACATTTTGTTCGAATTCTTTGATTCGAATTCCGCGACACATGAACGTTGAACATCGAGCCTCGTTGCTTCTGGCCAACTTCTTCTTGATTAGGCGCCAACAGGCAACCACATGGTCAACTATGTAAGCCCAATGTCTACGTGATCGAAAACTGATACCTCCTTTTTTGCTCATTGTAGGACTGGCATGTCCTTCGGGGATTTCCTGTCTCTCCATCCAATAAATTCTAGCCACTCCATCCCCTGTTTGTGAAACATCATGAGGGCCAACACAACCGGAAGATACCAAAGACTAGTGTGAAAAAGAGCCTTTGCCTCTTTCTCGGTGCCTATCCTCCAGAACTTCCATGCCGCCCTCGACAGGAAGGTGTTCGGTATTAGACTTGTCATTGCGAACGCCCAAGTTGTCAAACCAGAGAGAGGAATCAGAACGGAACAAATCCCGATCAATGCCACGGAATGTCGAAGGGATACGAGCGCATTGAGGGGTGGATTTGTAACTGCGAGCATTTTATACCCTCCTTGAGCGTACGATTCACGCACTGTATGTGCAAGTGGATTAAAATGGGGAAACTGCCAAGAAAATGCCAGGCAAAAGAGGCCTAGAGCCGACAGCGGGTTGTCGACATGTTCCACAGGAATAGCGTTTGCGATGTCAAATAAAATCGGCGGGGGGAATAATTCAATGGGATATGCTGACAAAGGAAGAAGCTTTCCTCCACAGGCTGTCCATCCTATCAGAGGCGGAATTCCGCCGACAACGGACCCGACCCATGTGTTCATCACACTGGACCGCTTGAGACTTGTATAAACCCCGGCATATAGCCCGATGTTTGCCATCCCCAGCACGGCGGCGACGGGGTTGCAAAATGTTGCTAGGATGGCTGGTCCCACTAAGCCGGCAGTGATAGCGAAACCAGTGGCATGGGCTGATGAGATGGCACCTCGAACGAGTGGCCTCATCCTTGTTCTTGCCATTTGGGCGTCAAACGGCACCTCTTTGAGCTGATTGAGGGTATTCGCAGAAGCTGAGCAAAGGGCGGTACCTATAGCAGTGGACAGAAGTACAGGCACTGTGGCGGGTAATGGGGAGAGCGCAACACCGGACATGGATGTAAGAACGACAAGGAAGGTAAGGCGAGACTTCGAAA